TCAGATTTCTAAATTCTCATAGGGCCCTCCCGGAATTCCTTCTAGAGCCTGGTGAATAATTTTTATGGATTCATTCATTTCACCGATTCGTACTAAATAACGAGCTAATAAATCCCCCTATTATTATTGGGAAATGGTGTAGCAAGACACCAGACGATAATAGAGTGTCTAGGCTTTTTGAAATTTCAACTAAAAATGATGAATTGAATATCTTTTTTTAAAGGAATATCAAAATTTAATCTTATTCAATGCATTTGATAAAAACTAATTATATGATCTTAGTCATTCACAACTCCATACGAAAATAAATATGTTAACTTTATTTAAATTTAATCTCATGGGATTGGCCTAGTTGAAAAAAGATTTAGGTCCCGGTGGCTCCTAAAGAATTAGGTTTCAAGATGTAAAAAATTTCTTGGAGGAGAGTGCTTTAGTACCAACTAGAAAAAAATAAAAATAAAAACACAAACTTTATTAAAATTTTTGGTTCAACATGTGATTGATCAAAATCGTGCAAACATTTCTTGTTTTTGAGGGGTAGATATTGGATACGCCGATTATCATGCATGAACTTGTTGTGTACTATTATTTTTTTTTTCTAGTATTATTTACTATTAATTCTTCCTTTTTTGTATTTTATACCAATGAAATTTTAATGTTGCTTCTCTTGAAATTATAAAAAAAAAACCCCACTTTTGCCCCCCCTCACACAAGTTATTGGGTTTGTCCCATACCACATCATTAATATTTTTGGTCAATGAAAATCAATATAACAATTAGTTGAGAGTAATTTTTTAAAATAGATTATATTACTTTTATAAAATAATATATTTTCATTGGTTATGTATACTAATACAGTTACATAGTGACGGACTTAGAAAATTTTCTGAGGGGGACGGCTTTTTAATTTGTGGCGGCAAACTTATATAGTGGGTCTAGTTTTGTAATTTTAATAAAGTTTTCTTCATAAATTTTTAAAAATTTAAAATATAAAATACAAAAAAAAAAAAAAAAAAAAAAAAATATTCAATGAAAGCAAATTGTAATTTTAGTAAGAGCATTTTCATAAATAGTCAAAAGTTTGAAGTATGAAATAATATATTTTCAATTAATTATGTGTATACAAATACATGGTATAGTCGACGCACTTGATATTTTCTCGTTTTTCGAGATGTTATTTAACAAAAGATATTATTACTACAAATAACTAATACATGTCCTTAATCGAAACTTTGTTTCTGCCTCGTAACTTAAACTAAAGATCGGCTAACAACTAATAAGTGTCTCATACACTTTAATACTATTATATTTGTTTCATTTTAGATGTCGTCATCGGGATTTGTGACTCACAAAAATTATAAGTCACAAATTCCAAAATCGACACTTAAAACGAGACAGAGGGAGTATAATACATCTTCTTATATAGCAAACCAATCTCACCTTAGATATATGTCGAATTGTAATTTTGACTCAAATCATGTAGTCAAATTATTTAAGGTGGAACAATAATGAAATTTTATAACCAGGGACAATAGTAGAATTTTCAAGGTATATATTTTAAAAAAAGATAAAATTAACAGGATTTAATACTAAAAAACTCAACGAGGGCAATTCAATTGCCCTTGCCCCACTAAAATATATATAGGTCCGCGGGTGGGGCTCCTTGAAGTCTCCTCGATAATCGTGATTCATTCCTCCGGTATTGACAGCTTCATTTGGAGGAGCTGCTGCCCACGCCAATAACCAATTCAGATTTTTTTTTTTTTTTTTTTTTTTTAAGATAATGCTTAACTATTTATTGGTGAGTAATTTCATCCTACTCAATCTTTGTGTGTTTTAATAATAATTTATCACATTAATTTTAATAATAAAATAATTTACATCCTTCTATATTTTTTTAGATCAATCATTAAATAAATGTGAGTTATTTTTTTTATTAAAGTTAATGTGATAAATTATTATTAAAATACACAGTGAGTAGCTTAACATTATTTTTTTTTTTATATATCACGTAATATTCATTGCAATGTGTGTCAGGTATCATCATTTCAAATAGACAGGGCCCAGCAAAAAAAAAAAAAAAAAAAAAAAAAAGAAAGAAGGTAAATCTAAACAATATAACCCATTTAAACATTAAAGCCCAAACTGGCCGAAGGCCCAAATTCTCCATCATGTTCGCAAGTTCGGAACTGCAAATCAATTGATCCACCAAACAAATTTCATGGTACTACAATTTATGTGTGTGTGTGTGTGTGCTTTTGTAATATATATTTATATATATTATTACCTTATATATGTATAAATATTCACTCTTTTATTTTTTTTCTTTGATTTTCTTATAACTAAAACACACATGAAATTTCTCAATATGCAGTCTATGCTAGCATGATTTTCTAAATAATTTACATCCCGGGAAGAAGACTTTGACTGAATAGTAAATACCTAATAAAACCTCAATACTCTCAAGTTTCAACAACAATAGAAAAATAAAATAAAATAAATTGAAGGAAGCCGGAAGAGAAAAATAAATCAATAGTAAGGGTGGTGGTGAAATCTTATCCAATACCAGTGGACACTCAATCTATTGATATAAACTTTCTTTTCTTAAAGGAGCGGTAAGGGGTTCGAATTCACTAATGGATAATTTGTAAAATATGTGTGTGAGAACTTACCTAACTGAAAAATTGAATCCAAATAACATAGTAGTTAAGACTAACCAAACTAGATTAAATCCTATTTGTCCTTGAAAGAAAGATATCAAATAAAATCAATCTCTTGAAATGAAAAAGAAGAAAAACAGGATAAATAGCTGAACTAACAGCTATGAACATTACAAATCTCTGTTAAGAACTCAGCGGTAAATAAACTACAAAAGCATCGAACTTGCATATATGATATGAAAAATTATAAATATAATTAGGTACATGTAAATTAAGTGGTTCAATTCTGCTTCCAATTCAACTGTATAAGCCTGTCAAATTAACTGGTTCAATTCTGCTTTTAACTGGTGAATGTCTTAGCTGAGCATTCTCTTCTTTTAACGGGTTCAATTCTGTTTCCAATTCAACTCAATTTGAATCTATAATGGGAGTTTTCAACGAAGAACCAAATTTAAAATTTTTTCCTTATCAGCTAAAATAAATTTACATCGTGTACTTCAAACGCTAATCAAAATTTGCTCATGTTATAAAAAATATTTCTTAAACCCATTTTGCCAAGTAGTTCCTTACATATGCATACCTTTTTGTTACAAAATATATATATATATATATATATATATATATATAGAATTTTGTTATAAATAAATTTTTAATAAATCTATTCGTAAAAAATACTTAATAATGAATTTTCTTAATTTTGTAATCAAAATTTTAAAGTATTATTAAAAACATAAAAAAAATATTTAATAATAGAACATACATTTCTATTGTGTACAAGTACTACTACTGTTTGCATTACTCTACAATTGTGTAAGTAGTCTTGTAAATATGCTAGATTTTTTATTTATTTGTTTTTTGAAATATTTTAAAACAAATTCTAGAGTTCTCCCAATCAGACTTTTGTGAAAATCCATATGGTTTTGTTTTGTGTAAATCCATATGGTTTTGCTTTTTGTCTATAGAACGTCTAAAAACCAATATAGGATTAATCTTATAACAATACCAGGTAGGATAGGGAACAATTCCTTAAAATGTTGTCAGCACCTCTTTGAATATTCCTAGAAAAGACAGTCTCACCCCCATGTAGCTCTTTCAATCTTTTAAAGCATGTGGTGTGAGGCTAAAATTTATCAATCTACATTTTAAAATAAAGATGAGAATTATTATTTATTCATGGGGTGCACAATTTTCACAATTTTTCTCTATTATTTGCTACGCCCGGGATGCTCTTAGACATGTCTACATGTTCGGTCACCCTGGATGCCTGAAAAAGTTGTCTTCGATAGATGAATGAAATCAGGAAAGAATTTTACTCGAAAGCTCTTCCGTATTTATTGGTGTAATTTAACACGTTAGAAAAGGGTGTGTTACTCTTTACATGTCATTCGTAACTTTTCTTCTCCCAGCACATGGTCACTGCGCTACGCTAATTGTTCAAAGCAGTGTTACTCTTTAGTATTGGAGAAGATTGGGTTTTCGTTTGGACTTTCGCTTGGGTCGTGATGAAGCTTAGCTTGTTGTTTTGGCTTGACTGTTCTTGTGGGCCTACCTTCTCCACAGGCCCACTTCCATGTATTTTCTGTTATTTTATATATAAATTATATGTTTTGCCTTTCAAAACCCAATTTCTAGAACCAGACTCTTATTAAAATCCACTTGTTGTGTCTATAAATAGAGGTGCCATGCCAATTTAAAAAATCACTTATAAATGAAAAGGGTAGATTAATCTTAAATGGTCATCCGTATCACTTATAATTCAAACGATATGATTAATTTTAAATGCCCATCACATCTCACAATTTTCGCATTGCTGGGAACATCTAAAAAAACTCCAACATCATCGCCTAATGTCAGCCACATCTCACAATCTTCACACTGCTCTCAGAATCTTCACACTGCTCGCAATACCTTAAAAACTCCAATAGCGTCGAATAAGATCGGTTACATCTAACTATTTCTGCACTTGCACCGCCTGAAATATCTTAGAAAAGATGATGATACTCCTTCACACGATAAGTCACAACTATCTAATTTAATATTGTTTGTCGGACTCTTGCGGACACGTCAATACTATCAATGAAGCAATTCTAACGTAGTCGTAAAAGGTTGTTGGGACCCATGCCGATACATTAACGGTTATGTTCAACGCCAATGGTTAACACATTAGAAAAGGAGTCTTATACGTACTGAAAAATAATAATTATATATATTAAATAGTATTGTGAAAAATTTTGGAAAAAAAAAAAAATCTTTCACAAAAATTGCAAAAAATATATACAAATTGACCTTAATATTTGTTAATGGTTAATTTTGTCAATTTTTTTTCTAGATATATAGCTCTCAAAATAGTCTTAAAAACTGAAATCAAATGTTTTTATTTTGTCAAAGTTTAAGTATTTATAAAATATCCTTAGTTGCAAATTTAAAAAATATGATATTTTACATGCCAGGTACTCTTGGGAAGAAGACTTTTGGCTGAATAGCAATTACCAAAAAAAAAAAAAACCTCAATACTCTCAAGTCTCAAGCAGAACAGAATAAAAATTGAAGGGAGCAAGAACAGAAAAATAAATCAATGGTAAGGGTGGTTGTGAAATCGAATCCCATACCAATCCACCATTAGCCCAATATTAATACCTATCCTTGTAGGACAACAATTTGTGAAATGTGTGTGAAAATCCAAATAACAGAATTAAGACTAATCAAACTAGATCAAATAAAATCAATCTCTTGAAATGAAGAAAAGAAGGAAAAAAAAAAAAAACAGATAAATAGCTGAACTAACATAAAACCTTTGTCAAACAGCTATGAACATTACAAATCTCTGGTAACTTGGTTCCATGCATTTCATTTTCTCTGGAAACCATTATTGTCCTGCACATGGTAGTTGCCGTCACAAAATTTAACAACTCCATGAATCTGAAATTTCAGTGGCTAAAAACCAGAGAGACTTCAATAAAGAGCTCAGCAGTAAATAAACTACAAAAGCATCAAACTCGCATTTATGATATGATAAAAACAAAAGGCAGGCCAAGCCCATAATTTATGTATAACACAAAAACTAACATTATTATCCTATAATTTTCTCTCTTTCTTTTTCCTTTCGAGGGAAGGGGTGGTCACTGTAATTAGTCATAAAAGAGACGTCTATCTCGATCACGAACGGTCCATTTATATGATTACCATCTATCTTCACTTCAAAACTGGCAACTCAGAGCCCTTCGCATCGCCTTCAATCTCTCCCTGGTATTTTGAGCACTGGTCTGAGTTCTCATTTTCACTTCCTCAAAATGCTGCAAGAAAAGTCGGTAAAGCATTAAGTTAAGAAACAAAGAAACTCGCGTCGCGTTGGAGCACTACACAACTATTTTTAAAGAAGATATAGGTAAATATTTTTTTATGAAATGTGCATTATAGACACGACTTAGCGTGGAACAGCGCTAGAAGATAGCACGACGTCTGCAAAATTGCAAATAAAGTTTACATGGCCATCAATATTCCAGTGAATTGATCACATGCACTATTTTGATGTCGCAGATCATGATATAGTTATTCTAAGCCAAGGTGTGGTTATTTCCATTTGATCAATATATTAACTTGTTTTCGCGCGCACACATGATTTACCTGTTGTTTTGCTTTCCTTTCAAGCTCAACCTGTTTAGAGTACAAGCGGACCTTGTCAATTACACTAATTCAAGCATATAAAAATGAATGAATTGAACACTGCAACAATCTAAGTATAAGTTCTCACCAGAGCATGTCTTAGCTGAGCATTCTCTTCTTTTAACTGGTTCAATTCTGCCTCCAATTCAACCGTATAAGCCTGTCAAATTAAATAGAATAAATAAATAAATCTACTCATCTGATCGCTATTGTGAGGTACTGATTAATGAATTCAACAACATGAGTCCAAGGTTGTATTTCCTCTAAGTTCAGTCCTAGGGATTGTAATGGACAACCATGATATTTTGAACTTGAGAGAGGATTTTACTGATCATGTTCGGGTACCTTTAATTTGGGATGATGTAAATTATGTACCTTTTTCTACATACTCTCAACACATAAAAAAGCTTTATCCTACTCGCTACTACTCTTTTTTTAAAAGTTGGTATGTTAATCATTTATAGCATCCTAACTTGTGCACTTAGTCTGATCTTAAATGCATTAACAATTATCTTTAAATTAGACTAAATACAGATTTGAGAGGTTGTACCTGTTTCCTGGCTCTGGACCTCGCAGCCGACTCTCTATTCTTGATCATCCTCCTTTGTCTCCTCTCAACCACCTTCTCCACCGGACCGTCTATAATCCGCTTCCGTCCCCCCCTAATTGCACCTATATCCATCCCGTACTGATTCACATTGTCAATTTGAATCGTAGCACACATTCCATCCGACGAAACCGGACTTGCAGGTGACCCCAACCCCTGCACCTGCCCATAGCCACCACCACCATTTCCCACTCTGCCACCATAACACACCGCTAGTGGCTGAGGTTGGTAGCCTACACTCCTCTTTCCATTCACAGCATACCCCGACAGCTCCCCAATACCTCCCTGAGACATTGCCGGGTACGAAGGCAAATTAACACCACCGCCGAGACTGATAAGTGGTGTGGACACAAAACCAGGACCCACTGTGGTGACATTATTAGTTTGGTACAACCCAAATGGCTGCTGAGGTAGCAGCGGCGTATTACACTGTTCCCTCACTACCCCCGCTTTAACCAAGAAATCCTCCAGTGTCATCTCTCCAAATGTGGTCTGCCTCTGGGCAGAATTGGGATCGTGAACACTGGTGATTTCTCCATGCTTCTGTTCTTGTTGACCCTTGTGGATCTCCGACCACACTTCCTCAACTGTTTTATTAGATAGAGGAGGAGGAATAGTAAAAGAGCCCTGTCTTGGCAAGCTTGGTTGCCTGTCAATGCCCTTCTCAGTCGAAATCTGATTGAGTGAGAACTGTGGATTATTGGTGTTTTCGTTGTTCGTATTAATGTTGCAAGTTTGAGCCTGAGCTTGAGTTTGATTCTCTTCAGCTGTCCAAATGCTGTTGAGAAACTCATCCATGTTCATGGAGCCAAAGTTCTTGCCATTCTCACAGATGGTGTTTTGGAACTCATCCAAAGTGAGAGAGTAGATGGATGCCTGTCGTCCCAATGAGGGGATTCCGTCGTCTTGGGGCTGTTGGTCTGATTGCAATGGAGATTCAACCTCGTCTTGGGATATAAACTCCGTCTCCATCTCTGCCATTTCAGCTTTTGATCGATGGAAATTCCCTTCAGATTGATTCAGATGTTAGAAATGGTGCTCAAATTAGTCTATATATGCAATAACACAAGCAAGAAGAGAGAATTTTCAGAGACTAAAAAGAATTGTCATCATAATTATTAGAAAAGATGGTCATTCTGGAATGGGCAAGAATTTCTGTCCATCTTAAAGTAAAAAGGAGAGTTGTAACAAAATGATTATATTAAGCTTAATATCCACGCTCAATCGATCACATAAGGTTTACTAAAACAAGTTGTCAATCACCTTATGACAACGAAAATAAAAACCATATTTCTAACATGAAAAATAATGAATTATATAAATAGGACTACGCCGCATAATGAAACAATACTATTAGTACCCAAACATTTCTAGGAGAGAGGGAGATGAATTGTGGTATCAGGTACGATGACCTTTAGCCACATGAAGAGGAATGAATGAGAATGATACCTACTGTTACCATATGGTAGCGCTCAAATTTATTCCGAACGAATATTGATCAGTACTATGGTTGCACATCAAAGGTAATTAAGAACAACCAAAATGCATTTAGCATATTCCATTCCCCATAAACAAGTGTGAGGAGAGGACTGCAATATCTTCACCCTTATGGCCGGTGTCTTTACAATTACACCAAAACGCCATAGTTTTGACCAACTCACCTATAGATGAATTTATTTGACAACAATACTGACTTACCTAACAATAACAGATATATAAGACTTGACTATTATAATTTTTTGTTTTTTTCCTTTCTACGTGAGACCAAAACTACCTGAGAAAGCACTAGAATGGAGTCCTTAATGTTACGCGTGCGCTTGAACGTGTTTAAGGCTGAACGTGAATTTTGAAAGGCCAAATCTTCTTGAAAAGGAGAAAAAAGAAAGAAAAAAAAAATTAAAGAATACCAAGGATCACCAAAAAAAATAAATAAATAAACAAACTTTTCACCAAAAAGGAGAATTAAAAATATACAACCATTATAAAGTTAAAAGAAAAAGAAAATTTAAATCCTCGAGTTTGACTATGCTTAAAGCACAAACAATACTGCAGTCACCATCGATCCTCCTACCAAACAATCCTAATTGGATATTGTAAAAAACTATTTCTCATGTTTAATTAAAATCACATGTGGAAATAATAAGCCGATAATTAGGGGCATAAAGGTCAAATGACATGAAGACCGATCTTTCATCTAAATTTCTAATCAAACATCATTTTCGGAAATGGAATAATTGGCAAGTGGGTTCGGACAGCGATAGAAACCTTCCTCTTTTGGTTCAAACCACAAACTGTATTACTATCAAATCAAGTTAAATGATAGAAAACCAAGTCAAGTTAGCCAAACAATGTCAAATCAGACCTCCCAGTTTCGAATTTCGTTGCAATTTCCAAAACCCACATAATATTTTTCAATTCTTTAATTAAACTTATTGTATGCTATCAAACCATATAGTAGTATATAACCAAATTCAGAAAATACAAAAATAAAAGATTTTACACACACATACATATATACATACATATATATATATATATATATATATATGTATGTATGTGGATACTTAATTAATTATACCTAGTGTATCAAAAACGGATCCAATTGAATCATTTGAATGCATAGAAATACAGATATATACCTATTTGAGTTGATTGCTTTAGCAAGCTGAGAAATCTTCAAAGCTTCCTAGAATAGTTGTGTAAGAACTCGGACAGCCATACCACAACCGCCATTAACGAACTTCAGAAGGTTTTAGCATAGCCCTTAGAGAGAGAGAGGTCAGTGATTTTACAATGGCCCCTATTACAGTGTGTGTTTTTAGTAGCAACAGAGACGGCCGACTTAAAGTGGGCATATTTATGTAGAGGTAGGTGGGTGGGGCCCAAAAGGACTGAAAATGTCAAATTTATGCTTAATATTAACACAAAATCCAAGCCTGCCCCATACGAGAAAGAAAGGGTTGTCTTTTAATGGGGATACCTCGACACGTATCCGCCATGTGGCTTCACCTCACTCGTCATGCATTCCTCTCTCTATCCCTATTCTTACGCGTGTCCGCCTGCTTCTTCTCTGGGAAATTTTTCTGTCTAACACACTCATACAGTCATACATACCCTTTTTGTAATTTCTAAAAGATTACTTAAATCTTCCCGTCCTTATATAATTACTGGAAATTTTTTTTTTTTTTTTTTTTTTGACGTTTTTCAATGTCTGAGTGATTGAGATGTTGACGATGTTTAGGAGCTAGGACATATTGGAGCTTTGCATTCTCCCATCTTTTAACCATTAATTCCGTAACTCTTGACATTCTTGCTACAAAATAAAAGAAAAAGTTCACATTATAAAAAAGTTATTCAAAATCTGATTGAAAGAATGAGATTAAAATTAAATTAAATTAAATTAAGATTTAAAATTAAATTTTCATCGGTTAAAATAAAATATTTTACTTTCGATCGAGTCCTTCAAATGCTAATCAAAATATGCTCACGTTATAAAAATATTATTTCTTAAACTCGTTTTGCTAATCTTGACCGGATTAAATAGTTAGCTATGCATACCTTTTTGTTAGAAAAAAAAAATAGAATTTTGATATAAATAAATTTTAAGAAAATCTAATAATAAATAAATACCTAATAATGAATTTTCTTCAATTGTAATCAAAATTCTAAAGTATCAAGAAAAACATTAAAATTTTATTTAATAACATAACATACATTTATATTCTGTACTATTATTGTTTACATTACTCCAACTGAGTAACTAGTCTTGTAAAATATATGTTAGATTTTTTTTATTTTTTTTTCAAAAAAAAAATATTCTAAAACCAAATTCTAGAGTTTTCCTAAACGCTTGTGAAAATTCATATAGGTGATGTTAAGGCTTTGTGTTTATAAATAGAGGTGGAGTTTGAATATTTGTCATTGCTTTATGTTTATAAAATCGTTTTACTTATAATTATTGAAATTATAAAATTAATCAAGACACTTCAAATTGCACCATCTCCCTAAAATATTATCCACATTTCTTTGAATAACTCAAACAAACAACAATAATTGTATTACAACATTTTTAACGTATACTTTACATGTCTGAGTTTGTACTCTAGTATTTTTTTGTACTACAATACTTCTTTGTTGTTACGCTACACAAGTCGAGATCTCAAAAAAGCACGACACTCAAAGATATTAAATAACACAGTCTGAAGTGTTCCATCTTTGTCGTTATGCTACACACGTCGTGATCTCAAAAGACACGACACTCACAAATATTAAATAACACAATCTCACATGCATGGAGCTCTTCCAAAGCCATAAAATGGTCAGATTTTCAATAACATTATCATTCTTTTTTAACCTCATTTATTCTCTTATTTACAATTTTACATAAAAATAATAAAATGTCAAATTTTTAATCTCATTTATTCTCTTATACTTTTACATGGAAGTAATGAGATGTCCATTATATTTTTAAATTAAGATAATGATAGCAGAGTATATAGGTTTAAATGCCATTTGTATTTTGTGAGTAATTGTATATATTTGGAGTTTACAAATTATATTAAAAAATTCCTACAATTTAGAAAAAATAGCTAAATAAATTTTAAATTAAATAATGTTTAAGAGTTTTAATAGAATTGTATGTGAAAATATTTGTGACAAATTATTTAGGTTTGGTTCCATTTGATTGACTTTCAACAATTACCCAAAAAAAAACAAAAAAAATCATCTATTTGTAACTCGTACAAACATATACCATATTATCATAAACTTGTGTCTATAAATACCACTTGTAGACAAAGGACCGTATTAGACATCCTTCTCTCTTCTAATCACTAACTCTGTACTTCTAACATTCTTGCTACAAAAGATAAAAAGAGTTCACATTAGAAAAATCATAGTATAAAATCATAAAAAATAAAATAAAATAAAATAAATTCTCTGTAGGTCAGTGTAAATCATATTCATTTTATTATGAAAGATTTAAGTCTAAATCTTAATGATATATATACGGTTAATATGGATAAATTTTGATATATTTATGAATTACTTAGATTTATATCCGTTTGACTCTAGGATGGGAGCATTTTTTTTTTTTTTTCAATAGGATGGGAGCTTTCAATGAAGAACCAAATGTGACCTGTTTTAAATTCAAATTTAAAAGTAATTTTTCATCAGTTAAAATAAAATATTTTGCTTTGGATCGAGCCCTTCAAATGCTAATCAAAATTTGCTCACGTTATAAAAAAAAATTATTTCTTAAACTCGTTTTGCATATCTTGACCGGGTTAAATAGTTAGCTATGCATACTTTTTTTTGTTAGAAAATATATATATATATATATAGAATTTTGATATAAATAAATACTTAATAATGAATTTTCTTCAATTGTTATCAAAATTTTAAAGTATCAAGAAAAACATTAAAAATTATTAAATAATTGAACATAAATTTATATTCTGTACTATTACTGTTTACATTACTCCAATTGTGTAGGTAGGCTTGTAAATATATGTTAGATTTTCTTTTAAAATAATAATAAAAAATTCTAAAATCAAATTCTAGAGTTTTTCCAAACTCTTGTGAAAATTCATAGAGTTCATGTTAAGGCTTAGTTTGAATATTTGTTTTCCCCTTCAATAAAACCACTTATAATTATTAAAAGTATAAAATTAATTTTATCACGGTACCAAGTAAAATAATTCAGATAGGATAATCTCCCTAAAATATTATCAACAACACTTCCAACATCGCTTGTATACTCTTCAAACGTCTCATAATACAGTACTTCCACGGTTTCACCGTAGTTTGTTGATACATTCCACACATTAACACCTCATAAAACACGACACTCAAAACGTTAAATAACACATCATGTCACACATGCGATACTCGAAACGTTAAATAACACATCACATCACACATACATGTAGCTTTTCTGGCATTGCTATAGTCGGGAGTTCTATTATTCTTTTTTAACCTTATTTATACTCTTATTTAAAATTTTACATGAAAGTGAAAAAATGTCTCTTTTTTAACCTCATCTATTCTCTTATTTACAATTTTATATGGAAGTATTAATATGTTAATTATATTTTAAAATTAAGTTAATAGTGAATATTTGATTTTGTTTTAAGTTGGATTTTCACAAAGCAGCAAAGTATGTAAGTTTAAATGCTATCTATATTTTGTTAGTAATTACACATATTCGGAGTTTACAAATTATATTAAGTGATCTCGTACAATTAAAAAAAAAAGAATTTATTAAAAAAATTAAATTAAATAATGTTTAAGAGTTTTAATAGTATGTGAACATATTTGTGAC